CCCCCCATATATATTGTTCCTAGAGTCGCCACGATGTCTGCATGTGTGTCAATGTGTATCTGTGTGTGACTGTGTTTGTGTGTGTATGTCCGTGTATGTGTATATGTACAGACATCTAAAAATCCCGCCAACACTACACACAAATACACTTGCATTTCAACGTCAACACTACATACAAACCCCACCATTATATATAACCATACCACTGCATTCAAATACCACACAACACACAAATGCATGCTTGCATTCAAACGCCAACACTACAAACACACCGCTACATTCACTCACATATACTCCATACAAAAACATGCATACATTCAAAAACACAAACACTGCTTAGTGCTAAATACATTAAAACATTTTTTTGTTGTTTTTATATTTAAAGTTGAGGGGGGGAGCAAGGGGGGAGGTGCCAAAAATAGGAGCCGCCCCGGGTGCCAAATGCTCTAGGTACGCCCCTGCTCCTTTGGAATCAGAAGATGTCCAACGACTTTTCAGCAAACATTTCCCTTCCCGAATCCCCCCCACACCCTGTAAAAGGTAACCCCAACGAAAATGCAGTGTTTGCTGTAAAAGAGGAGTCCTAAAGGCCTCCAGTTATTATTGACCCTCCTGTCCATCCCTACCTGCCCTCTGCATAACAGACTGTTTCAAAGTCTACCATACAGAGCTGAACTACTAAATCACTCTGTATGGTACTTTGGCAGTTTGTTTGCTTGATTTCCCTGGATTCCCTGACCTCGGCTTGTCCTGACTACACTTCGTTAGCTGCCTGTACCGACCCATTGGCTTGTTTTTCCGACTTTTCTCACTTCTGGATTCCCCTGAGCTTGGCCTGTCCCTGTTTATGCTAGCCATTCTAAAGTGGCTACACCAAACAACTCAAAATATACTACATTTGTAGTACTTGAAATGTGCCTTCACAAAAAAAGCAAAAAACTAATCACAGGGTTAATGCTACAGTATCTGAGTGAAAGATCTATCTGCCTCTCTCTGCCTTCAGATCAAAGTGTACTTGGGGGTACTGTACTATTCCTGTGATATACTAAAAACCTGGAAACATTGTACATGTAGGTATCGTTATATTCAGAAGACAGTGTTAAATCAAAATGCTGAGGTTTTAGTGCACTAACTAATACCAGGATTATGACATTTCTAGTGAAAATGCAATTTATGTGATTAAAAAGACAAAAATAGGGGCGGGGCCTGACAGCCAAAATGGCCGGACGTGCTCTCTAAGAGCTCTTACACCGGAGGGCACAAAAACGATAATCCTGGCAAGCCGAATTAAGCCAACAGCCCACGGAGTCCAGAAACCGATATAGAACCACACGAGGAACAAAACGGTACAGGTCATGCACCACAGCGACTCACGAGCACATGTACCGGCCATGCGGCCTAAACTGCAGCGGAGCCTGAAGCCTGGGGGAGGCGGCCGATCGCCCGGCAAGGGACCTGCTTGCAAGCGAGAACTACAAGATGCCCAGCTACCCCCCCCTCTGGACCGGCGGGGGATATCCCGGTCCTCGCTGGGGACGATTACCCCCACAGCAAGACACGAACAAGCGACAACACATGCGGGTAAACGGGACTGCCAAGGCCCAAACAAAATGGCGCCACAGGCGCGACAAGCGACAAAAGGCTCCCCTACCAAACCACCTGGTCACACGCTGGACTTCTTTGAACGTCTCTGCACAAGCCTATGGTATGGGCTCCGCAATAGGCGCCGGCTCTTCAAACAAGCGAGAAAAGAAGCGGCGGCATGGATTCGTCCTGCCACCCGACGCCTCTTGAGTGGTTGCCCGACCCGAGTCCCCAGAAGGGCCCTCAGACAGAGAAGAGGCGGGAGTTCGGAAGGGGGGAGAGAGGGGAACGGCTCCCTAGGCTCCAACAACAGTAACCACATATGGCAGCACAAAATAGCCACACACACCCGACCAACTCACCGCCCAGCGGCATCTGAAGTCTCTGACCACTGCAGCATGTACCCACACTCCTGGACGCACGCTGAACACTCATACCAAGCACCTAACACCCCGGGGGCGACCCGACGCCAGCAGCAAGGTACACCCAAAAGACCCCGTCAACTCCTGCACATTCATCGACCTCAAACGGAGATCCAGGGGCACAGACAACGGGGAGCTGTGGGACCACATCTTTCCCAAAGACTGGACCGTGACCTGCCCCTCACAGGCATAGGCTAAGCTGAGCTGACAAGCGGAATTCTTTGGGAATTATTATTGACCAAATATGTTTTTCTTCAGAATGCTGATTTGATTTTTATTTTTTATTTACTTTTTATTTTTATTTTTAGTTATTGTTCTTTGCATGTGATTATACCAGCAGTCCTGATAGCTGATATATCTCTTCTCCTTTTTCTTGACTCTCGATTGATAATGCCTTTATCTACCACTCCAAGGGGGCCCCCTAGGGTGAGCAAGTTGACAGCCCAGAAATAAGCAATACGTTATCTCCATATCTTAATATGCTGTTTTAATGGTTTAGCACCCCTTTACTGTGGTCATCCCACTGCAGCTCCAGACTAGAGTGCAATTTAAACCCAAGAGCAAGCAGCTCAGACCCATTGTGAGACAGGGAAAATACAGGGAGCATAGTGGGGTATTGGTCTACTTAAATAAGCGTATATTGCATAGCATCCCAAAGTTCTAGCCATATACAAACCTAACCAAAAGTATGCCACCTCACCATAGTTCTATTCGTCCCATAGCACTCAAACCTATACCAGTTCTATTAACCCCTCGCAGTTGGTTTAGCCTGTCTTGAACCCTCGAATAGTTGCCAAACATTATGTACCCAAAGTTATGCATGTCTAACAGTGAACGCTTCTAAATAAGCTATGATTAACAGATACTATCTGCTACTAATCTATGTTAAACACGACTTCATCTCCTAACTAAAAATTGTGCAAGTACCAATGTATACTCCATTGTTCTTGATGTTTGCAAAGCATGCGGATTGCCTTTGGGGTACCCCGTGCACATATGTTATTCCAAATGCACTGCAAAAATAAAGAATTTAAAAAAAAAAAAGACAAAAATAAAAGTAGAAATTGCTACATGGGCCCATCATTTCTGTTAAAATGGCTAGACCAAACATCTCAAGGTCTGCCATTTGTTGTACTCGGAGTTGCCTACTTTTGAAAATGTTATGCCATAACGGTGGAAATGTTATTACCCAGGCTGCCATGCTCTCTAAATAGCCACATAGGCCCAGCAAATCACTTTGTCAAATTTCCAACTTTGAAATGGACATCTAATATATTTGTCCCTGTGACTTCCCCAAAAAACAGAAAATCCGGAACATGGGGGTACTGTTATATTCAGGAGACAATGTAAAAAAATAAAAGTGAGGCTTTGTTGCAATAACTCACATCAGGAATAGGAAATGTCCTGTGAAAAGTGAGTTCATGTGTGGAAAAAAGCACAAATAAATCTATTACCGCTATGAGTGCCCTTCATTTCTGATAAAGTGGTTAGACCAAACTTCATAAAATGCACCATTTGAAATACTCTGGGTTGCCTACTTTGGAAAATGGTAAGCCATAATAGTGGAAATGTTATTACCCAGGCTGCCATGCTCTCTCAAAGGCGAAATAGGCCCAGGAAATCACTTTGTCAAAATTCCAACTTTGAAATGGACATCTAATATATTTGGCCCTGTGACTTCCCCAAAAAAAGAAAATCTGGTACATGGGGGTACTGTTATATTCAGGAGACAATGTTAACAAAAAATTTGGAGGCTTTGTTGCAATAACTCACATCAGGAATAGGAAATGTCCTGTGAAAAGTGAGTTCATGTGTGGGAAAAAAGCACAAATAAAACTATTACCGCTATGAGGGCCCTTCATTTCTGATAAAGTGGTTAGACCAAACTTCATAAAATGCACCATTTGAAATACTCTGGGTTGCCTACTTTTGAAAATGGTATGCCATAATCGTGGAAATGTTATTACCCAGGCTGCCATGCTCTCTCAAAGGCAAGATAGGCCCAGAAAATCGCTTTGCCAATTTTCAATGTGTAAAACCAAAAATGGACAAGCGTATATTTGACCCTGTAACTTTCCAAAACCCCATAAAACCTATACATGGTGGGTATCGTGGCGCTCGTGAGACATCACTGAACAGAACTAGGAGTGTTTCAGGGCAGTAAACTATATACTGACGTTAATATTATCAGTAAAAGTACAGTTTTATTTGAAAAATGCAAAGAAAAAAACATAACACTAATTTTGGCTAGCATTTGTGCCCAAGTGGCTACTACAAAAGACTGGCCATACCCCATTTTGAATACCCTGGGATGTCTACTTTTTCAAATGGTATGCCATTAAGGGGTAATTTTCATTTCTTGGCTGCCATACGGTCTCAAAGGCAGCCTAGACACAGCAAACTAATCTGACAAATTTCATTGTGAAAAAGCATTAATGGATAAGCCGTATATATGACCCTGTAACTTTTAAAAACCCCATAAAACCTATACATGGGGGGTATTGTTATACTCATGAGACATTTCTGAATACAAATATGTATGTTTTATTGCAGTAAAACCAAACAGTATTGTGACATTATCAGTTAAACTGACATGCAGAAATTAAAAACTATCAAAATTTCTTACGTTTTTAAACTTTTTTAGATTTTATTCATACAAAATTGAGTTCTATGTATGAATGTTTGATATAGAATGAAAGCCCTGTTTCCCCTGAACAAACCGATATATAATAAGTGTGGGTGCACTTAGTAAGAAAGAGGTAAATTATAGCTAAACAGACAGAGAGTCAAATTCTGTGGTTTGTTTACATTTTGTTTTAATCACAACTTGTACATTTGGCTCCGTCCTTAAGGGGTTAAATGAAGTAGATAAAGAAACATACTGCTTTTGGCTTTGTATTAGATTCCTTCTCCCTCAGGTGTTTCAGGAGAAGCAATTAACACATTTTACCACTTCAGCTAGATTGCAGGTGTTACTGAACCTGTCTGAGTGCATCTCCCTGGAGAGAAGGAGACCTGTTTTTCCAAAACGAAGCATGGTAATGTTTAACAGAATCAATGTTTTTTATGTTTGTGCACTCCTATGTATTTATACATTCTACAAAAGTTTTTCTATTGCCAGGCATCCTCTCCCCTCTGTTCAAGATAGGGAATGTTTTTTTTTTTCAATTGGTGGCAGTGTTTTACCTTCAGATATATGCTGATTACTGATGCACAGCTTAGTAGATCATACTGGTTGCAGGAGCACAAATTTGGCTATTAATTGATCTCATAAGTAGGTAACGCTGAAGCCATTACCTGATTTAAAAGCTGTTAATATTGTTTTTTCTTTCACTTGATCATAACATTTTATTCTTTAAATCTGAATAAATTTCCTTAAAGCAGGGGGGCGGGGCCTGGCTGCAGAGCTGTGAGGAAGCTCACCACAGCAGCTCCTGCTAAACTCGGCACTTAATGCTAAATTTCACCGTTACACAGGCATTTAATTGTGAATTTAAAGCTACCACTCGAGAGTAGACATCGAGGGGAAGAAAACGATACCTCTCCAGCGACGAACCGAGCACAACTCACAATGAGGCCTACAAGCATGGCGGGCGCAGGGGAGACGGCCGCTCCCCAGCTGCAATGCCATGCCCAAAATCTGGCTGCAAGCCCTCGTTCCCCCCCCTCTGGACCGGTGGGGGTTATCCCGGTCTACCCCCAACTGACTCCCTGGCAAAGCAATGGGCCAGAATCGGCTCCGTGGAGCCCAAAACTAACAGACCCAGCGGTGTTCAATATGGCGGAAACCTCAGACGCATGGCGGGAAACGGAGATGCGGCTGAACAGCATCTTCGCTATTTTCTGGGAGTCCCTGGAAGCCCGCATGAGAGCCCCACTCCAGACCTCGCCACAGCGCACCTCACAGGAGGCCAGACGGGGACAAACAGCAGCGCAGCCCCAACAACAGCTGTATCACAAGGGTGACGCTAACCCGAACCAGCAGGGGCAGAGGCTAGTCACAAGGCCCAAAAAAACGAAAGCTGGACGGCGGCAGAGGGGCAAGTACTCGCACCCCCCATGCAAGGCAGTGAAACGGAGGGGACAGGCGAAACTGAGCACAAGACCTCCCCAGATACAGCAAGTGAAGCAGAGGGGAGCAGGACCAGGGGAGGTGACCGCGTCAGGAAGGTACATACAGAGCTACCCCAGCCCAAGACAGGCAAACCTTCCCCGACGCACAGCTTGGCTGGAGCTACACTCAGCGCCCACAGCAACACTGCATAGCCTAGGGAACATCAGCTCCTTCACACCGAGGAGATCGCACCAGCTGCACCGATTACCGCAGAAGGTACATACACAGCCCCAACAAGGCATCGGCTGACCCCCAAAGGGACTAAGACTCAAATCTGGGCATAATACCATCTGTCACACAGCTCTCTGTGCCCCAATTGAACTCTCACGAATGTATACTGGAACATATAATTTACTTCTTTTGCTTTCTATTTTGTTTTCTGGTCTGCTCACCCAGGGGAGCACGGGGGGGACTAAAGTCAGAGTTCAGCAATTGTATAATATGAGTACACAAGCTAAAATTAGTCAGAATTTAAGCAACTAATGTACTTCTAGTACGCTTGGCTTTGCGCCATGTCTGTAAACTGCTGTTTAACTGGTGGGCCCAAGCGAAATATATGCTCCTGGACTCACAAGTATTGCTGGAGCACCATAAGATCAGCTATGTTTCTATCCTACACTATACCTCAGCTAACGATTGCTCCTGATTAATGCTTAATTACTCACACAGGATCAGCCCTGACTTAGGCCAATACTAAACATTTTGCAGCACTAAACCAGCTAAAGTAATCAAGCTGCTGCTTAGCAGATAGGCCCCAAGCGACACATATACCACGACACCCAAAAACACTGCTGGAATACAATACTGTATACCTCACATAAAGGCGTAAACCAACATGTGACCCAGCTACTTAAACGCTTTTGCCCATACCTGTGTTGAACCGTACACTGCTTAAGGTTGTCTTTCCTGTTCATTAAATTACAAAAACGTGCTGAGTTAACTTATGCCACGAAAATGTTTTACTATGTTATATTTGACTGCGTCTGTTACAGCTGTTGTGGCTACACAGACACTGTTGTAAATTCTTGCACGACAAAAATAAAGAATAAAAAAAATAATAATAATAAAAAAAAAAAATTCCTTAAAGCAAAAAATTTATATTCAGTATGCTCTTTTATCCCTTGGGGATCTGAAAGTTTGGCAATCCCTTTAGTATATGTCAGGAGTGGCATGCTTTTGGTTCTTAAGGAGTTAATGATCAGAAACTTCTGACAGATTCCCCTGTTGTGAAGGGGAACTTTATAATTTCCTTTCTGCAATAAAGGTATTCTTTTAGGCTCATATGCTCCAGGTAACTTTGATGCTGTGTATTTTAAGGTCTTTCCAGTCCCCAGACCATTCTACCAGGTTTACTAATTCAGGTAAAATTGACCTGCTGCCTGAACAATAGAGGAAATCCCTAAACAGGTAGTTCCATTACGGACCTCTCTTCTGATATTCATGGGGATTCTTCTAGGTGTCCTTTTATCTGGAATTTGCAACCAATGTGTGGCTTTAAATGGTTGATTCATCTTGCGTAATGTAATGCAGCTTGTTGATGACAAACATTTGACTGATCTGTTTTACAGGGTCTCTGTACCTAGATCTGTATTAGTTATGGTCACTCCTAACATTGCATTAATTTAATACTTGTGGATTATATGTTTGGATTGGTGTTGATATCTTGCAGATATAACAAGCTGCTTATTATCACCATAGGCTCTGCCATAAGTACTTCTTCACTATCTAAAGATAAGGTAAGAGTAAGTATGCGGGTGTTGTTCTTATAAGGATAACTGAATATCTTCTACTATCCTGCTTATTATGTCTGTTGCCACAATGTACAATGTGCCTCTGGTTACCACCTTCCCATCAGTATCTTGCCTATTATATATCTCTTACTTCTGTTGTGTCAGGATTACTGTTTGATCCAGCACGTAGAACTGTACAGCACGGATGACAAATAAGTAACGTATTAACGGTCCTTAGAATGGCCGGATTTAACGTACAAAGAATAGTCAAAAATACTAGCCGAGGTCAGGGAACACAGAAAGGGACACAGCGATGAGGAAAGCCAGGAGTCAGGATACCAGAATATAGAGAAGTCAATAAACAAAGCCAAAGTCAAAAACCAGGTAGAAAACTATAAACAGGAATGCGCTCTCAGACAACCACAAGGGAAACCACGACAGGGCACTGAGCAGGCTGAGAACTGGGCCTAAATACTCCTCCTTTCTTTCTGATAGGCTGTAACCGGCCTTTGACCCCAAAGTCAGTTACCAGGTTTCATTTGCATAATTGCTGCTCAGCATTAACCCTTCTGTGGATTAGGTTGCTGCTCGGCACAACTTTTCCTGTGTGGACAGTAAATGTCATTAACCACATTTCTATAAGCGGATGAATACGTGACATGTTGCACAACAGTCTCTAATAAATTTGATTATCCTGTTTGGCATAATCTGTACTATTTACAATATGTTTATCTTTGAATGTAGGTACTGACGTGGTTGGCCTCCTTATAATTTAGTAGTTGCCAAAAATTCTATGGTTCATATCGATATTTCTTTTTTCCCCTCAACTAATCTGTATATGATTCTTCTTGCCTTTGCCTAGTAATGTTATTAGTTTATTCCTCTCCTGTGACTGATCATTGCTGTATCAATTCATCCACTGTGTGAGGTATTGTTGTGAATCTGAATTTTGCAACATCGGGTCATTGTTGCAGTGTTTTAATAACAGACTCTTATTTCTCTACTAGGCTCTGCCTCTTTCTGAAAGGTTCTGATTTGTTGATATCAATTTGGTTTTAAATTTTATATCAGAATGACATTATCCTTTTCTAGTTTATGCTATCATGGCCTTAATTCCTATCAGACTCTATTTCTGTTCAGGATATTTCAGATATTGAATGCCAGGAGGTTGCTGACCTTGCAGCCTCTAGGGAAAATTATCTTGTCTGAGCAGATTTTATGACAATATCCTATTGATTCTTGTTTGGCTTTGTAAAGTCTTCTAAGATTTATACAGCTCAATAATGGTTTTATAGCTATTAGCTGTTTTTGAACTCTGTCCCTCCCTCTATATATACTGCTTGGGTATTCCCTATGAGTAAATGCTGCCATGAATAATGGTCAGGAAAAAGGAAAATTGTTTCATACTTACCGTAATTTTCTTTTCCTGATAATTATTAATGGCAGCATTACGTTCCCACCCATATACTACAGGAGTTGTGAAGCTAGTTACAAAGACTGCCTGATGGGAAGGGGGAGGATCTATTTATACCAGTTTCAGAGTTCTATTTCCTGTCCTTTCTGCTGTAAGGGGAGGAGCTAACCCATGAGTAAATGCTGCCATGAATAATGATCAGGAAAAGAAAATTACGGTAAGTATGAAACAATTTTCCTTTATCCGGCGTCTGTAAAATCCTCATAGGATGTCAGGATATTTATATCGGCAGACATTTTGTGCTAAGATAGAAATTAAAAGTGTATATTGCCAGAGTCACTCAGAACAGAGCGGACTCCATTTTGGATCTTCAGGCTAACAAAGACACATAATTTCTTCTTCCTTTCTGTAACTAGCCACTATCCTGAGATAAGGAATGCATTATATAAACAAGCCAAGTGATAAGCAATGAAGCAGGGGGATGGAATGCTCTGTTTAAATGTTAATGGAATAGAAATAATTTTAAACACAGACACTAGTGACAGAGAAGACAAAGTAATTAATTTTACTTTCTAAATTTTACAAGGTCCCATTGTATGTAAGGGGTGAAATTGAGTTTAGAACTGTCAATTTTAGAAATTACGATCAAAGTCGTTTCCACAAAGATTGAGGAAAACGCTTTGAACTGACAGCAAATTTAAGTTATGGTAGTCATTTTAGATAAGCCAAATGAAGTCAAAATCGTCATCAGGAAAAGTTAACTCTTTCCTGGATAGGAAGGTTTATTGAGGCGAGACTGCCCTCTATGGACGAATAATCTAAATTGCAATCTGCAGGTTGACCACACCTTCAGTATCCTATTGGCCTTATCAACTAATGACATACAGAGAGTCTGACCCTTTAAAAGTTAGGACAGAGGGAAGAGAGAAGGTTAGTTTGGACATTCAGATTCGGACATTCAGAGAGATCCAGGACAGATATTCAGGACACTCTGGGACTAACACTCAACTCAAGAAACACTCCTTAACACTTAGAATTTTACTCTTACTTTCTAACCAACATCACTTTTCTCTATTACTTACACACCTCCATACAACCAATTATACTCGCATCACGTTCCTGGGACTACCTACTCATCTGATGAGAACATCTACATAACTGGTAATTATGCTGGTTTTATTTAATTAATCTAAATTAATTCAAATCTAAAAGCATGATATATGACTGGATAAATCACAGTCAGATTTCAATATTTAGAAATCTTAGTTAACTAAAGAATATATAGTTATAAACATTCCATTCTGCAGGTGGAATTAAGAATAATTATATATTAATGTGATATTATCACGTGTTAGCATACCGCTGTTTTTATTCAGGTGTATTGATTTGCTCTAAAATAAGATAAGATCTCTTTTTAGGCAAATTAAAATTCGGCTTTTGTAAAAAATCTGGTAGATTATTCTTATTGGATGGTTCCAGGAAATGATTAATGAGCTGGTTCGAATGTTATTTTAATTGAAAATTACATGAAAATAGGATACTATATGCCTAGGAGGATCTAGCCAGCATTGAAAGGGTTACTCAGTTGATCTAACTGTTAGCCAAGGTTTTATGGCTTTTCGCTAGAAGTTTAGCTTTCTGTGTCTGTGATGTACCCTCATAAATCGTGTAAGTCTTGACAGTTGACGCTGTAGCTTTGTACTGTGTTTAAACATTGCCATTGCATACTTATGTTATACTAAATATTCACTGATTATTATCATGCATGCTGCCTAATATTATTATTATTTTATTTGTCACAATAAATTATATCTATTTTTATAACAAATTGTGATTTTATTTGTATGGAATACATTTCACTTACATGATAACGATCTCTAAGATCTAAGAGAATTGAAATAGTGGGCAATTCTCAACTGTATAACATTATCATCCCATAAATATCCCCACAAGGAAAACATTGAGTCTGCGCATTAGGCCTTCCCCTAACATATGATGTTGGAGGAGGCGGAGTGACGAATTTGGTGCGTAAATAAAGGTTTTTTTTTTAACCCTTCATCTGCCACGGGGGGACAGATCTATAGAATCCCTGGAACTCCTTATTTTTCAGAAAAAACAGACTAGACATACATTGGATGTGGTGAGGACTTGGGAGGACATGTTCATTTAAAATATGTAAATCATCTAGGCTTCTTGTGCCACTGTTTGGACACTGGAAAGTTGAGGCAGTGTCCACATCTACTCTTAGAAGGTAAGTGGTGTCTGCCAAATCTAAAGCATATCAGTCCCAGTCAGGACCGGATTTACATCGCAGGTGCCCCCTGCTACCCAACCCCAAACTAAGGCAGATAAAGTATAATTAATTTATTACCTGGACATTGCAGGCCTAAAAACCATATGCTTGAATCAGTACAGAGAGTGTATGCAGCTGTATAAATGCATGCAGGGTTAAAGATAATGTTCAAAGTGGTTAAGGTAAAAGAAAGAGGGTAGTAAGGTTAGAGAGTGGTCAAAGGAACACTATCGTCACCTAAACAACTTTAGCTTAATGAAGCAGTTTTAGTGTATAGATCATGCTTCTCAGGTTTCACTGCTCAATTCACTGCCAGTTAGGAGTTAAATCACTTTTTCTGTTTATGCAGCCCTTGCCACACCTCCTCTGGCTCTGATTGACACAGCGTGCATGAAAAAAAAACTGGTTTCACTTTCAATCAGATGTAATTTACCTTAAACAATTGTATCTCCGTAAATTGAACTTTAATCACATAAAGGAGACTCGTGCAGGGTCTAGCAAACCT